GTCCACCCACCAAAGTAATTTCGCTTTATCAACAAGGACTTAATCCACTATTCAAAAACTTTGGTTGCAACCACAAAGACTGCAACCAATGTCTTCTCAAGGATTCTGATTATACCCTAGTGTTTCAAATAAATACAACTTAAAAAAAATTTGTCAATGACTTCTCGATGGTCCCATTCCATTGCATACCATGAAATCATATTTGTAAATGTATCATAGCATATGCATTCCATTTCCAAGGAATCCTAAATTTGAGTCTTTTGTTGAGATTTCCAAAAGATAAATATTGTAAGAAGAATACTTATGGATAAATAAGTCTTTGGGTTTTCCTGGAAATAAAAAATAAAAAATAAAAATAGCATAGATAGATACAATTATTCACAAAAATAACATGCATTCATTATTCACATCAGAAACATATTGGGGTCCTTTCTGCTCAGACTTCAAATTCAACTAAATTAACTTCCTTACACCCCATCCTACCAGAAGTAACCATCGAATATTCATGGATCTCTTTAAACATAATCAAAACACTCTTCATCAGGAAATATATGTTATGGGTGCCATAATGAATCAACTTCTCGAGACTCTCCACATTGTCATCCAAAGACAGGAAGAACTCAGGCAAAATGCTGCTAAGTTTTGATTATGTTTAAAGAGATCCATGAATATTCACTGGTTGCTTCTTGTAGGGTGGGGTATAAGGAAGTTAATTTCGTTGAATTTGAAGTCTGAGCAGAAAGGACCCCAATAAGTTTCTGATATGAACAATGAATGCATGTTTTTTTTGTGAATGATTGTATGTATCTATGCTATTTTTATTTTTTATTTCCAGGGAAACTCAAAGACTTATCTACCAATAAGTATTCTTCTTACAATATTTATCTTTCGGAAAGCTCAACAAAAGACTCAAATTTAGGATTCCTTAGAAATGGAATGCATATGCTATGATACATTTACAAATATGATTTCATGGTATGCAATGGGATGGGATCAAAGAATCATATATTATGGATAACCACTCTACAATCCTATGAATAACTTATGTACAATCCTCTAAATAGGCTGAATATAACAAGATTAAAAGTTCAGAACTGTCTCTGAAAACAAGAAAACCAGGTATGATGAAGGTCAAGGTTTCCTGCAAAAACCCATATCCCTCTCACGTGTGGGTTCTAGTATTAAATAGTGGTTCCTAAAAGGTCTCATAGTTATGGGTCATGTATGAAAGCACCTTGTCTTATGCACAAGTGTGCAGGACAAAGGCATCCCCAAGGGAACCTAGTATGGGTTTGAGTCTCATGCAACTCAATGCATCAGTCGTTACACGAGTCAACACGACTATCCACTCTAATCATATGTGCATACTCAAGCCTGGGTAGTGGGCTTATCTCTACAAATTATCACACATCCCCCAAATAGAATAGAGCATCATATATCCAGGATATATGAATGATAAAATGCAATGAATAAAACAAGTAAAGCATAAACAATAAACAACCAAAGAAACAAACTAATGAAGTTAGGATTGACTTGCTTAGGTCCCCAACAGAGTCACCAGCTGTCGCACCGTGAAAAAAAATACAGAGTCTCCTTCGAACTTTATTTATCCCAAAGGGAAGGGAAAACATCGAGAAAACCCTAAAAAAGGATAAGATGGTCTTGCAACCAAGATACGAGTTTAGAAGTCGGTTATGCAAAGGGAATGTATTATCACCCCTCACATATGTTGTACTCAATGGAGTCCACTTTGATTGTTTCTAAGGGTGTGGTATATCTAAAGATAAAACTTACTAAGAATGCATGAATGAATTACTGAGAAAAATGAAAAGGTTTATTATTAAGTTCGCCAAGGTCTTGCAACCTTGTGCCTATGTATCCTCATAGTGCAATGAAGAAATCAGAACCCCATAGTTCGTCCTAAAAAAGTTTATTTGTTAGGTGTTTTTTATGGATAATATTAATGTTCACGCTCTAACAATAAGGATAACCTGTATTGCGGTAGAACAAAAATAACATGTCCTATTTGAAAAAGTTTTAAAGAGAAAATCCAAAAGGAAAATTAGTTTGGATTTGTTGAAGTGTTTTGTTATGAGATACATCACATGATCCTATAAGGCTGGGGGTATTTAAGTACTTCTCCTTTAGTTTTGAAATTTGTTCGAGATATGTATTATACTAAATTTATGAAATTAGGGCGAATATTGTCTACAAATGAGCCATGTGTATCGCGTACAAAATACTCTAAGAAGAGGTAAGGAAGGCTCCCGCTCATCTTTCCCTATTTGCTTAAGGCTCATGGCGTATTTACATGTATCGTATTTATTAAGTTTTTTGTATTTGATGAAGAAAAGAAGTTTTTGTCTTTTAAAGAAAAAGAGAAGCAATGCAAAAGAGAAAAGCAAAAGTAAGAGGAAAACTTGAACCCTGATGTTATCATGTCATGGTAGACTTAAAGTTGAGATTAAGGTAAGACTTAACCTAATGTTATCATGCTTGATTTTAAGCCTAATGTCTAATCTTAATTTAATTTAATCAAGGATTAAAATTGAATCAAGAGAACTTAAGGGATCGTGAATCAAACAAGCAAGCACACAATAACATCAAGCACTAAGGCAAGCATTAACTCCAGACAAGTTCACTCACGAAAGATCATCAAGAAGCATCAAAGACATGACACCATTTTTGAATAAAAACTCAACACAAAAATGAAAGAAAATAAAATCATAAAGTCAAAAGATGAAATGCCAAAATAATCCTAAAAATATTATGTGACATTTCTAACATTTTTATAATTTTCAATTATTAAAATCATAAAAGAAAATAAAAACAAAAATCAATTAAAATAAAAAAGAAAATAAAACAAAAGTGAGAAATAAAGGAGGTGCAACACTGGATGTGGATGTTTGAGTCATTAAATCACGTGTCAGACCCATTCAAATCAGGTCTAGGATGAGTTTTCGTTGCATATCATTCAGGTTAACAAAAATTGTGTGGCTTTGGGCTTACATGGGGCTTAACGTAGCAAAACAAACATCAGGCCCAAATAATAACCAAACACAAGTCCAATTCAATTCATTTTTTTCAATTATTATTATTATTATTATTATTAATATTAAATAATAAAATAAAACTAAAAAAGAAAATCAACACAACGCAAAACAACGTCGTTTTCAGTCCAAAAGCTATTCAAAAATTTAAACTCTTCGGGCCAAATCTCTTTCTTCAACCTCATAACTGCCAGGCGCCAGCGAGCCACGTGGCGGCGACGACAGTGGTCTCAGGTCCAGAAATGCCAAGCACCTACATCATCTTACTTGCCTTCTCACACTGGTTCCAAAAATTATATTCTTATCTTCCAATTCTTCCTTAAACACACATAATCTCAGAAATACAATAAAAAACCCTAACTAATCAATTTCAAATTAAATAATATATATTGTGAATTGAAGTTTAAGACCTTAGGGATAAGAATCAACAAACAAATGTGTACGCAGTGGTATTGTAAGTATTATATGATTCTTTTTTTAAATATGTATAGGTTCTCTTGATGTATCATTTTAGATATGTGTACATTCACTTTTGTACATTCTCTTGAAGTACAATTTTATGTTCTGGATAAAATAAAATAATCTGATTTTGTCACAAAAACTGTAGTTTCTATGTAAAGAAATGATACAGGTCAGTCCAAATGGGATTTAAAACAAATCATAAATGACAAAAAATAGGTTATAAACTTATGTTATAAACCGACGTAAATACTGACCATTTCTCCTCTGTTATTAAGAAAAATCGAGTAGTATGTGGTACACACTACATAATTTTGAAAATAAAAAAAAATATTGCTAGGGACCGAACCAATGACCATTTCAAATATCCCCTAAGTTATTCTGAAATTGAAGGGTAAAGTGACAAGTTTTCTTGACGCCTTTCGTTACCTCTCTTGTGTAACCGAGGTAAAATTCCTTTCGCTCCCAAAGTAAAATGTGTTTTTTTATAGTAGTAATTTAAAATCACACGATTGAAACTTCTTTAACCACCCAAATGAAATACATCTCACTTTCACTTTAACTTATATATCTTAAGGAAAAACCCGACCTTCATGAAAACAAGAACTCTTCTGACTATTATAATATTTCAGGTTATTTAACAACTAAGTGGATTTACTTAGAATGTTTTGGTAGGTTTCTAAACTCTTGTCAAATTTTATTTTTTTTCTTTTGGTTAATTTTATTGATAATGTGTTTGTTGATTCTTCCTTAGTAAGATCTAGCCCCTCAAATGTATTTTTGTTTATATATATATATATATATATATATATATATATATATATATATATATATATATATATATATATATATATATATATATATATATATATATATATATATATATATATATATATATATATATATATATATATATATATATATATATATATATATATATATATATATAAAAGAATGTTAAATTAATTTTTTAATACTTCAAAAAAAATTATATTTTATGTGATTTTTTATTGGATCTTTTGAATTTATAAACAAATAAATGTTATAATTTATTTGTTTAAATAAATAAAATGTAAATTAAATTTTTAATACTTTTAAAAAAAATTATATTTTATGTGATTTTTTAAGGGGTCTTTTGAATTTTATATATTTTATATGATCTTTGAATTATTGGTTTGAAAAAAAAAATTCTTTAAAGTAAAAATATTTTTTATTTTTACTATATAGTTTTTTTTCTATATTAATTGTTTAACTTTGTTGAACGTTTAAATGTTTTACATCTATTTTAAGTTTTTTTTCTTAATTTTTTGTTTTGAAAATTCATGTTTATCTCAATTCCAGTTTGAATTTTTAATTGAATGAGACATTGAATTCATGCATATTCTCAATCAATTCTCCCATTCATAACTTTTATTCACAATCAATTTCTACCTATAAAAACTAATCTATCTATACTCATAACACAATCACAACCAACAACTACAACAAACAATGGCATATCACATAGAAGGAGTGCCAGAGGTTGTGAATGGTGTAGACCTAAAGAGATACATGGTTCGTTGGTACGAGATTGCTTCATTCCCTTCATTTTTTCAGCCTGCAAATGGCGTGAACACTAGAGCCACCTACACTCTAAACAGTGATGGAACTGTTCATGTTCTCAATGAGACATGGAATGATGGGAAAAGAAACTCCATAGAAGGAACTGCTTATGAGGCTGACCCTAATAGAGATGAAGCCAAACTCAAGGTCAAATTCATTGTTCCTCCATTCTTTCCAATCATTCTTGTCCTTGGAAATTACTGGATTTTGTACCTTGATCCATATTATCACTATGCTCTCATTGGTGAACCTACTATGTAATTTCTTTGGGTAACTAACCCTAAACACCTTCTATTTTCTTTACTTTATGAGAGTTGAATTTTCATTTTCAAAACAATTAATTTTTTCTTTTAAGGATATTTTCTTTCATCAACTCAATGTATACTTCAGAATGAGCTATAATAATCTTTTTCAGAGTCTTGCATCTTCTCTTAAGATTTTAATTCTTTTCAAGAATCTCAGCTAAGAAAGTTTCAAGTTCACAATAAGATAAATGAGAAAATACCTCTTCAGAGTTTGATACTTGTTCTGACTCAGAGTTACTTCTTTTATATTTTCTTTCAGAGTTGGTTAATTCTTTTGGACAACAAAGGCACTTCTTCCTCATTATCAAAATCTTCTTCAGATTCTTCTTCTTCACCTTGAAAAGATCTAGTCTTTTCAGACTTGCTTTTGTATTTTAAAGCAACATACTTTCATTTCTTTAGAGGATCATCTTCCACAAGTTGTATTTCCTGACTTCTTAAAGAACTTATAAGTTCTTCCAGAGTTGTACTGTTTATTTATTTGACACATTTAGTGTAGTCATCTTTGACCGTTATTTCTTTGGAAGACTTATGATGATCTTTTTCACATGGTTTGCAGTAGTGTAGCCTTTGTTTAGAATTTTCAGCAATGCTATAAGAGTCTAAAATCTTGAGAACATGCTCTCAATAGTTTAATCATCTTTCATCCTAAAGGATTCATATTTTTGAATCAAGCCAAGAACCTTGGTTTCTTTGACCTGCTCGTTTCCTTCATGAGTTATTCTAAGATAGTCAAATATAGACTTTACAAAATCTTTATTTGTTATCTTTTTATACTCAGTGTATGAGATAGCATTCAACAAAATAGTTCTTGACCTATGATGATTTTTATTGTCATTTTTATATTGATTACTCATAGCATTTCTTTCTAGTTTGACACCATTTTCATTTAAAGGATATGTGTAACCATCTGTTATCATATCCCATAGATCTGCATTAAAACCAGGAAAGAAATTTTCGATTATATCCTTCCAATAGTCAAACTAATCACCATTGAAAACTTGTGGCTTAGAAGAAAATGACTTTTATCATTGTTGTTATTTGCAAGTGGAACTTGTGCCATTGTGTTTCAAGTACTGGATCTTTATCTAATACGGTTAAGTGTTTGAAAATAATCAATACCAGAACCGAAACTATGATGTCAAATGAAGGTTCAAAGAAACACAAGAAAAGGGGGGATTTGAATTAGGTTTGTAGATTTAAATCTTTTTCGTTAACCTAAAGACAAACATCATAAGACTAACAATGATAAAGAACTCAAGTATTTTATCCTGGTCCACCATTAACTAGGCTACCTCCAGTCCACCCACCAAAGTGATTTCGCCTTATCAACAATGACTTAATCCACTATTCAAAAACTTTAATTACAACCACGAATACCTCAACCAATGTCTTCTCAAGGATTCTGATTATACCCTAGTCTTTCAAATAAATACAACTTAAAGAAAATTTGTCAATGACTTCACGATGACCCCATCCCATTGCATACCATGAAATCATATTTGTAAATCTATCATAGCATATGCATTCTATTTGCAAGGAATCCTAAATTTGAGTCTTTTGTTGAGCTTTCCGAAAGATAAATATTGTAAGAAGAATACTTATGGATAGATAAGTATTTCGGTTTCCCTGGAAATGAAAAATAAAAAATAAAAATAGCATAGATACATACAATCATTCACAAAAAAAAACATGCATTCATTGTTCATATCAGAAACGTATTGGGGTCCTTTTTGCTCAGACATAAAATTCAACGAAATTAACTTCCTTACACCCCACCCTACCAGAAGCAACCAGCGAAGATTCATAGATCTCTTTAAACATAATCAAAGAGGTAAGGAAGGCTCCCGCTCATCTTTCCCCATTTGCTTAAGGCTCATGGCGTATTTACATGTATCGTATTTATTAAGTTTTTTTATTTGATTAAGAAAAGAAGTTTTTGTCTTTTAAAAGAAAAAGAGAAGCAATACAAAAGAGAAAAGCAAAAGTAAGAGGAAAACTTGACCCTGATGTTATCATGCCATGGTAGACTTAAAGTAGAGATTAAGGGAAGACTTAACCTAATGTTATCATTCTTGATTTTAAAACTAATGTCTAATCTTAATTTAATTTAATCAAGGATTAAAATTGAATCAAGAGAACTTAAGGGATCGTGAATCAAACAAGCAAGCACACAATAACATCAAGCACCAAAGCAAGCATTAACTCCAGACAAGTTCACTCACGAAAGATCATCAAGAAGCATCAAATACATGACACCATTTTTGAATAAAAAAATCAACACAAAAATGAAAGAAAATAAAATCATAAAGTCAAAAGACAAAATGCCAAAATAATCCTAAAAATATTGTGTGACATTTCTAACTTTTTTATAATTTTCAATTATTAAAATCATAAAAGAAAATAAAAACAGAAATCAATTAAAAGAAAAAAGAAAATAAAACAAAAGTGAAAAATAAAGGACGTGCAACATTGGATATGGATGTTTGAGTCAGTAAATCACGTGCCAGACCCATTCAAATCAGGTCTAGGATGAGTTTTTGTTGCATATCATTCAGGTTAACAAAAATTGTGTGGCTTTGGGCTTAGATGGGGCTTAACGTAGCAAAACAAACATCAGGCCCAAACAATAACCAAACATAAGTCCACTTCAATTCATTTTTTAAATTATTATTATTATTATTATTATTATTATTATTATTATTATTATTATTATTATTATTATTATTATTATTATTATTATTATTATTATTAAATAATAAAATAAAACTAAAAAGTAAAATCAACACAATGCAAAACGACGTCGTTTTCAGTCCAAAAGTGATTAAAAAATTTAAACTCTTCTCGAAAAGTCTCTTTCTTAACCTCATGACTACCAGGCACCGGCGAGCCACATGGCGGCGACGGCAGTGGTCTCAGGTCCAAAAACGCCAAGCACCTACATCATCTTAATCTCCTTCTCACATTGGTTCCAAAAATTATATTATTATCTTCCAATTCTTCCTCAAACGCACATAATCTCAGAAATACAATAAAAAACCCTAACTAATCAATTTCAAATTAAATAATATATATTGTGAATTGAAGTTTAAGACCTTAGGGATAAGAGTCAACAAACAAATGTGTACGCAGTGGTATTGTAAGTATTATATGATTCTTTTTTTAAATATGTATAGGTTCTCTTAATGTATCATTTTAGATATGTGTACATTCACTTTTGTACATTCTCTTGAAGTACAATTTTATGTTCTGGATAAAATAAAATAATCTGATTTTGTCACAAAAACTGTAGTTTCTATGTAAACAAATGATACAGGTCAGTCCAAATGGGATTTAAAACAAATCATTAATGACAAAAAATAGGTTATAAACTTATGTTATAAACCGACGTAAATACTGACCTTTTCTCCTCTGTTATTAAGAAACACCGAGTAGTATGTGGCACAAACAACATAATTTTGAAAATAAAAAAAAAATATTGCTAGGGACCGAACCAATGACCATTTCAAATATCCCCTAAGTTATTCTGAAATTGAAGGGTAAAGTGACAAGTTTTCATTACGCCTTTCGTTACCTCTCTTGTGTAACCGAGGTAAAATTCCTTTCGCCCAAAGTAAAATTTGTTTTTTTATTGTAGTACTTTAAAACCACACGATTGAAAATTTTTCAACCACCCAAATGAAATACAACTCACGTTCAATTTAACTTCTATATCTAAAGGAGAAACCCGACCTTCATGAAAACAAGAACTCTTCTGACTATTATAACATTTCAGGTTATTTAACAACTAAGTGGATTTACATAGAATGTTTTGGTAGGTTGTTAAACTCTTGTCAAATTTAATATTTTTTCTTTTGGTTAATTTTATTGATAATGTGTTTGTTTATTCTTCCTTAGTAAGATCTAGCCCCGCAGATGTGTTTTTGTTTATATATATATATATATATATATATATATATATATATATATATATATATATATATATATATATATATATATATATATATATATATATATATATATATATATATATATATATATATATATATATATATATATATATATATATATATATAAAAGAATGTTAAATTAATTTTTTAATACTTTTAAAAAAAATTATATTTTAGGTGATTTTTTAAGGGATCTTTTGAATTTATAAACAAATAAATGTTAGAATTCATTTGTTTAAAAAAATAAAATGTAAATTAAATTTTTAATACTTTTTAAAAAAATTATATTTTATGTGATTTTTTAAGGGGTCTTTTGAATTTTATATATTTTATATGATCTTTGAATTATTGGTTTGAAAAAAAAAATTCTTTAAAGTAGAAATATGTTTTATTATAACTATATAGTTTTTTCTATATCAATTGTTTTACTTTGTTGAATGTTTAAATGTTTTACATCTATTTTAAGTTTTTTTCTTAATTTTTTGTTTTGAAAATTCATGTTTATCTCAATTCCAGTTTGAATTTTTAATTGAATTGACATTGAATCCATGCATATTCTCAATCAATTATCCCATTCATAACTTTTATTCACAATCACCGCTTGTTCTTCTTCGTTAATGGAATTATGGTTCTTCTTCAAGCTTCGCAGTCCTCCCCAGCTTCACGGTTTTCCTCTATTTCCCTTTGTTTCTGTATTACAGTCGGCTACCTTGTCTCTATCTGTCTCTTCACCGTCAAAATCCCCCCTCTGTATTTTCTTCTCCCTCTATTTATATGCTTTTTAGTTCTAGGGTTTGAATATATCATTGTTACAATTTAGATAGCATAGGTTGGGGATTGAGATAGAAATTAAGGATTGATTGTTCGTTAATTGATTGAGAAAAATATTTGATTAATTTCTAATTGATTGAAATTCGGAATTTGGCGTGTGTTGTACCCCAATTTTTGCCCTTAATATCTCCTCATCATACCATGTTGATCCCATCACAACAAGATCACATTAGGA